CCAGGCACGGGCCCCCGGGAGCCTCGGTCACGGCAGCGCCCTCCACGCAGTTGCGCCGTTGAGCCCTCACCTGTCTGCGCCCGCCAGCGTCCCCACGGTCAGGGCCCGAGGCTCGGAGGCCGTGTTCGCTTCCCTCTGTAGGGTCAGGGCCCAGCATCCCGGCACGCGGTCGGCGTCCTGGATTCACAGAAAGGAGCCCCAGTGGGTGGCGCATGGGAGAAGAAGTAGGGCTGGAGGCGGGCGGGGCCCCTGCTCAACCCTCCTCACCAGGCCTTCTCCTCCTCCAGCCCCGCTTCCCTCCCAGCGGGCGGCAAAGTCCAGCCAGGGTTAGGTCACAGCCCACCCGCTCCCCTGCCCCTCTGCTAGTCCTCCCCACACCCATGTCCCCCCTGGGCCCTCAGTTGTGTAAGCTAAATCTCTTGCTTTGCTCTGTCCCTTTACTATTGCTGTGGTCGTGCAACCACCCAGAATTTGTTTTTCTCCTTCCAACTTACTTGGCTCAGCATCATCTCCTCCGGTCCCGTCCATGCGATTGTGAATGGCCAGTTGATCGCTTTTCACAGCTGCGTAGTATTCCAGTGTGTGTTTGACCACAGCTGCTTAAGCCCCTTCTCTGTCCCTGGACACTTGGCTGTTTCTATAACTTGCTGCTGTAAATAGTGCTGCAGTGGATGTAGGAGAACTTATTCCCTGTGGGTAATGTTCTTTCCTTCTTCGGGTAGATGCCTGGGAGTGAAATGGCTGGATCACATGGTAGGTCCACTTTTGATATTTCGAGACGCCGCCGTGCTGTTTCCACGGGGGCTGACTGGCCTGTGCAGCCGCCCGCGGGGTGCAGGCTCCTTTCTGCATTCCCCACCAGCACTGCGCCCCGGCTTTGCTGGGGTCATTCCCGTGGCGTGAGGCCGTCTCTCGGGACTTTGATGTGCACTCTCTCCTCTGCCTCCCCCCACCTTCCTCGCTGCTCCCCACTGTCTGCCTGATGGACAGTCACTGCGTCCTGCGTCGGCCTTCCCCAGAGCTGCCTGGGAAGTCCCGCCGACTTGGGACAGTAAATGGCAGTGCAGAGCTTTGATCCCCACACCCCAAATGTTCTTGGCACCCCTCTGGGCAGACCAGCCCCCAGGCTGAGCCGAGGGCCCCTACCCTGGGGCTCACAATAGTCACCAGCGCCAGAGTGCCCACACAGACCCAGCTGGGCCAGCTGGCGGCCGGTGCCCGACAGCCAGACCTTGTTCCCAGCCTTCCGGGGGCAGGGGCTGCCCCGGAGGCCAACCCCGTGAAGACCCCCCTAGGACGGTGCGCCTCCCGTGGGCCTGCACGCCTGCCAAGGTTTCTCCTTCTCTGCATCCAGAGCTCAGCAGCAGGTGCCAAGCCAGCCCAGCTCCCGATGTCAGCCCGGGCAGCCTCCTTCCGGGGAACCTGTTTTCCGGTTTGCACAGGGCGCCCCGGCCTGGTGCGAAGGGGCCGCGAGGCAGCCCTGAGTCCCTGCGGCACCGCCTGCGTCCCTTCCCTGACTCAGGCCTGTGCCCTCGCTTGTTTCCAGCCACGGGCCACTGCGCCCCCCAGCGCCCCCCAGCACCCCCAGCGCCCCCAGCGCCCTCCATGCCCCCCAGCGCCCCCCAGCGCCTGGGCAGCAGGACTGGCATCTCCTCAGTGACATCATCTTGGCTGGCCAGGCGGGAGCAGGGGTTTGTCCAAGCCCCCCCCCGGCCCCCCGCCTTGGCCGCTACTGGAGACTTAAATGCGGTTTCCGCCCACGTCATCGCCACCGGCCAGTTCACTTTCCTACAAGCACGCTCCCGCAGCTAAGGGGTGGCACGCCTGACGCGCACGAGGGAAACAGGAGCCCTGGGGGAGCTCGCCGGGGCCGCAAGGGGCACAGAGGACGGGCCGGGCGTCACCCGGCGGCAGGGAGGAGCCCGAGAGCCGCGCCTTCCCCGGAGAGGAGCTGCCTTTAGCCGGTTCTTAGCGTGCGCTCAGCAGCCCGTTGGCCAGAGCAGCGGTGAAGGGAACTGCGTGCCCACGATGTCAGCCCACCTGCTGTGTCAGCCCACCTGCTGTGTCAGCCCACCTGCTGAACGGAGCCGTCTCAGCCCCTGCGTGTCCGGGGCGCAAGGCCGTCGCCCCTTGGGCAGCCGGGTCTGAGCTGTGCGGGTCCACGTGAACCCCTGCTGTACCCAGACCGTGAAACTAGTCGCGACGGCCGGCCCAGTCCTGGGGACGTTTCCTCTTCCTTACGATCTCCCTCAGCCTCTCCTTGCTCCGTGCTATACACGTGCAGCTCGCACACAGCACGTGCAGGAGCTCGGCGAGGGGCTTCCGGTCAGCGGGGGCTGGTCAGCGCATCCGGGGCACGCAGAGGTTTCTCGTGGGGGAGAGAGAGACACCGAGGCAGAGAAGAGTGGGCGGCCACGGTCGGAAAGAAGGCAGGAAAGTGGGGGGGGGGGTGAGCCCGCGTGGGAACCACGTTGGAGAACGCGTCCTTGCTCACCAGAGCGCCGGGAGCCACCGAACGACACTGACCTTGGCAGGG